ACCTTTCGGTTAATAGCCAAATGCGCTAACCGATCACGCCACAGAAACTAATGGGTTGTGTCTTAAACTCATTTGCTGATACCAGAAATGGCTTTTTAACCTCTGGCTGCAGAAAATCTCATATGTTTGTGGCCTGTCCAATCCCGCGCACTCCAGAAACCCAGAAAACGGGAGACAATGAAGCCAAGAGCCGAGTCTTTGGGCACGTTTGGACATTCTACCCGGCCAGAGTCAGCTGGGGGACTCCAGCGGCCAAACGGCCGCCTGCTCCTCACCGTCTGCTCCTCACTGCTTCCCCCGCCTGCTCTTCACCGTCTCAAAAGTCGCCGGACCCTCCACAGGCGACAACTGCAGCCTCTCCGGCGGAAGTCACTCCCTTTCCCATTCTTAGCCCCGCTTCACACCTTGCGCTCACAGTCATTTCCTCCCGGCCTGGGCCAGCGGACGCGCGCGTGGGAAGGACCAGAACCCGTGGTGTCCTCACCGCGCAGCCCTCGGGCCTTCAGAGGTGGAATCCACCGCACAGGGACCTGGAGTTTGCACAGGCTGCAGCCCAGAGCCCAGAGCCAACCTAGCACCTAGTAGGCGCCCAGTAAATGCTTGGTGAAGGAAGGCATTCCACAGCAGGGTTTTAGGAGAACCATGAATTCCCATGTGAACATTAAGCGTTTAGTCCTACTAGGAAGTCTGGAATATGGAGACCTAAACTGTTTCTCAAAGGCAGCTGTTCTTGTATTCCCAGAGCTGGTTTAGAATTCAGCAAAGGTCCCTGCTCTGTGGATCCCACCTCTGGAGACCAGAGGATGGTGCGGTGGAGGACACTGCGGGTTCTTGTCCTTCCCACGCTCATGTCCACCGGTCCAGGCCCAAAGGAAATGGCTGTGAGGGCAAGATGTGAAGATAGTTACAAATACCAGCTAGGGCCAGCGACAGTTGCAGAAATGAGGACTTGTAATAATTATGAGTATTTCTTCATTATTTTGAGATGAATACAATACTTTTCTTGAGAACTCTCCTCTTCCATCATCCTAGCTAGGGTATTCATTAATAGTTAACTTTTAGAAATCTCCATATTTAGGTTACAGGATAGCAAATATGGAATGTGATCTATCTAAAAAAAAAGACAAATAAAGGACTTTATCCTGTTGGGGAAAGGGTTGGCATATTTTCACTGAATGAGAAAAAGTATGATTTTCCTATTGTCTTTATACGAACCTTAAGTATGGTTTTACGAGGATGAAAAAAGAGAAGGAAGAAGAGAAAGAAGAGGAAGAGGAGGGAAAAAGGAGGAAGAAGGTGTACATTGATGCCACCTTGAGAAGAAGTGAACTGTGGTGGATTTGTAATGTATCAATTTTGCTAAGCTTAATGCACGTTTCCCAGATTTGCCATCTTTAGATAGCTCTGGGTTAGCCTGGGCCACAGCAGACATTTGGAAGATAGAATTCAAATGTCTGTTATAGGCTTTTGTATACTGGGAAGGGCGTTGTTACAGCTCAGGCATGATCTTCAGCTTCCCTGACCCTTGGACTGGTGGGTGTTTTGCTTCTTGATCTAACATTAAGGTTAGAAATTGCAGGATTCCAGTTGGGTTTTGTTACATCCAATCTGGTTTAAGTTCACATATTATTAGGAAAGCTTTAGGGTGCTTCAGGAAAACAGTTTTTAAAAAATCAAATTTGAAAAATATCAAATGGAATTATAGGCAATAAGCATAATCCAGTGGAAACATGAATCAAACTCTCTAAAGCAGGCTTCCTTGGGGAAGCCAAAACTCTCTAAATTTTGGCTTCCTTGGGCCACACTGGGAAAAACAAAAACAAAAACAAAAAACAGAAGAACACTAACTGCAATTGAACTGTGCCTGTAAAGCTTGTAAACAAAATGTGTCCGTAAAGCCTGCAAACAGGCCGACCGCAGTGGCTCAGGCCTATAATCCCAACATTTGGGAGGCCCAGGCAGGCGAATAACTTGAGGTCAGGAGTTCAAGACCAGCCTGGCCAATATGGTAAAACCCTGTCTCTACTAAAAATTCAAAATATAAGCCAGACCTAATTCTTGGTGGCCTGTGGCTGTAATCTGTTACTTGGAAGGATGAGTATTCTCTGACTGAGGTAGGAGAATAGCTTGAACGCAGGAGGCAGAGATTGCAGTAAGGTGGTCCCACCACATATTCCGGTGGACTGTTTGCTGTTAAATATTTCCAATTGGCTCCCATAGGGAAAAGCAAAGCTTAGTTTTATTTCTATAGTACAAAAAGCTTAGTTCAGACGGGTCCACCACATTTGCCCGCGCTGACAGACTCTCGGGATTACAAGTGTAAGAAACGTTTCCGTGTAATATCTTTAGTTTTTGTGTTACTGACGGGAACGAAAATCTGTCTGCTTGTCATTGCATACGCTTCCACAACAATGAAAACAATCTACTCTTAAAATAACAATTCAGGGGAAAGCGCGAACGCAGTCCCCCACTACCACAAATTATGCAGTCGAGTTTCCCACATTTGGGGAAATCGCAGGGGTCAGCACATCCGGAGTGCAATGGATAAGCCTCGCCCTGGGAAAACCACCTTCGTGATCATGGTATCTCCCCTGCCAGGTAAGTATGAGCTCCCGCACCTCCGCCCCGCCACAGCCTCATACACCTCACCCTTTACAAGCACGGTCACTTGCCCCGCGCACTCCCGAGCCCTTCTTGCCCTGACAAATAACTGGGACTCTGAGGTCCGACCAGCCGTCCTGAACCCGCTTCCATGGCACGGGAACACGCCTTCGTGGCGAAGCAGCAGGTAGGGAAGCAGGAGCCCCTGCGCTCCCTTATCTACATAGAAGTCGCCCTCCCCGTGATGTCACCGACAGTGCCTTTCCCAGTCCCCGTCTGCCTTTCTTCCACTCCGCGGACCAACCCGCTGCCGGAGCCCACAAGGGGAAGTGACGTCTGCCTCTCCCTTTTTCCCTCCCGCGCCCACATCTGTTCTCTTCCAAAGAAGCTGGTCCTTAGCCTGTATTGAGTGGCAAGCTTTCGGCGGCCAGATGGAGCCTGGGAACCCTACTTCAAATACTGGCTTTTAATTCGCAGACTAGAACGTTTAGGATTACAAAAGAAACCGGTTCTCTTCACATCCTTATCTTTGGGATGTAGCATTCCGCTTGAAATTGGAAGCCGCTTAATATCAGAGAGAAACCATATTTATAAAAGTAAAGAGACTGCTCAGATGACTGCAAACCAGCCTTCCTTACTGATTTTATCACTGGTAATGTTACAAAGACAGTTGTCCAGTTTCATGAATCTTGTAGTTTTTTTTTTTTTTTTCAGTATTGTAGAAAAATATGAAATTCACTTCATAACATCAAAACCAAAAACCTACACTGATGGCAAAAAAAAAAAAAAAAAAAAAAAAAAAAAAAAAAAAAAAAAAAACTCACACTGATGGCAAACATCAAAAAATGAGAGAGAGAGAGAGAGAGAGAGAGATCTGTCCTATAGCCATACTTAGTGGGTAAAAGCCAAAGAGCTCAATTTCTGCTCATGATACTTAATAGAACATAGGAACATGAGCCAACAGCTCAGTGTCCGTGATAGACCAAGGGCCTGCTTGATGCAGTGATTCTACTGTCTCCAATAATATGTCTCGACTAATTTTTTTTTTTTTTTTTTTTTTTTTTTTTTTTTGAGACAGAGTCTCGCTCTGTCGCCCAGGCTGGGATGTAATGGCACGATCTCTGCCTATTGCAACCTCCGCCTCACGGGTTCACACCACGCCTGGCTTTTGCTCTGTTTGTTTGTTTGTTTGTTTGTTTGTTTTTAGTAGAGACGGAGTTTCGCCATGTTGGCCAGTCTGACCTCGAATTCCTGACCTCAGCGGATTTAGAAGTAGGTGAGGTCAGAAAACATACCCTGGGAGAGGCTGGGTACTAATGCCCAGAACTGCCATCGCTTAGGCCTGGGGTTTTCTCTATGGATACTGTATTCATGACAAAACTAAATTAGATACTTCTGGGAGTTAAAAAAGAGATGAATTTACAGTGCCATTTGAGAAGGGGTATTAAGGAATTTGCCAGGGTACTGACGCGTGTCAGGTGTAAACTGCAGGTTGAGAGAGAGCTAAGTATTTTCTGTCCGTGAAGGTGATAAGCGAGGGCCTGAAGAAAGACGGAAGGCGGAGGACACTGGCGCCAGAAACGGGAAAGGGCTGCTTGGGGGCGGGAAGGATGGGTGGGAGCATTCAGAAAGCTGCCTGGCAAATGGATGTAGGATGTGAAGCTTGGTAGACATCAAACAAGAAGCTGTCGCTTTGAATAAAGCTCCGAAGAAAGACGAGGCGTAAACGGCAGGAAATAGTAGGGAAACTGGACTCGCCTCGTAAAACTTCTGCCTTACATTTCAGGAAGGATCGCAGCGCATTTCCGCCAAGACAGGTGAGACTGCGGTTCTGACTCGCGGGCCTCAATGAATACGCACTAGGACCTGGCGCGGGAGAGCCGTTCCCCACAAAGTAAGCGTGTTATGTATACAACTCCAGCGGGGACACTTACAGAGCCCCAAAGGCCCTGTTTTCCCCAAAGAACAGCGCCTGTCTGCGTAGTTTGTACCTGGCTCTATGAAGGAGAACACATTCCCCAGCACAGAAATCCCAGGCAAACTACTGTGTGGGGGGCTGCAGTTAGAAGCAGAAGCTGTATAAAAGGTGACTGGGGTTAGGAACAACACGAAGATTTTTACAGATCGTGAGAACCCAAGACGCTGGAGACCATGGACCAATCTCCGCAGAAAGCATCCCCGCATAGAAAGGGAAGAACTGTGCGGCCTTCACGGTAGTTACCTTATGTTGCAACGGCTGACCTTTTTCATTTGTCCTCTGACAGAGAATCGACATAAACATTAATCATTCTCTAACCTTACACGGTAAGATAACATTTACACGCCACAGAAAACACAAGATTAGACAATTGCCACAAAACGCAAACTTTAGTACACCACCTATTCTTTAAACTGCAAAATTCAGGAAAGCGCGAACGCAGTCCCCCAATTACCACAAATTATGCAGTCACAGAGCTTCTACATTTGGGGAAATCGCAGGGGTCAGCACATCCGGGAGTGCAATGGATAAGCCTCTGCCCTGGGAAAACCACCTGTGATCATGGTATCTCCCTGCCAGGTAAGTATGAGATCTGCCACCTCCGCCCCGCCACAGCCTCATAGTCTCCCCTTTTACACGCACGGTCACTTGTCTTCATACTCCCGAGTCCTTCCAGCCTTGACAGACAACTAGGACTCTCAGGTCTGACCAGCGGTCCTGAACCCGCTCCCACAGCACGGGAATCGCCTTTCCGTGGCGAAGCACCAGGTGGGGAAGCAGCAGCCCCTGCGCTGCCTCATCTACATAGAAATCGCCCTCTCCATGATGTCACCGACAGCGCTTTCCCCGTCCCCGTCTGCCTTCCGGTTCATCCTTCGTCACTCAGCGGACCAACCCGCTGCCAGAGCCGGGAAAGGTGACTTATGCCTCTTCCTTCTTTTTCTCCTGTCCCCGCCCCTCGTCTCCCCAAAGAAGCGGGTGCTTAATCTGTGTCCTGGGAGGTCCCTATGGCCAGCTGGAAGCCCGTGCACCTCTTCTTCAAATAATAGCGCTTTCAATGAGCAGACTAGAACGTTTAGGATTACAAAGGAAATGACCGTTAAAACCTGGTTATCTTTGGTGATGGGCACTGTGTGCATACCTTCGCAAAACGCATGAAAGGCCACTGCACTCCACCCTGGGCGACAAGAGGTGATCATATCAAAGACGAAAACATTTCCCTCTACTTCAAAGCATTAGACGCCAAGGCTGGCAGGGATGTCTGTCTCTCGAAAGTTCAACATCAAAGTACTGGAAATTAAAATAGTAGAAGCAAGAACAAAAATTGTTGAAGATAATGTCAAGAATATTTCCCAGAACCAAAATAAGAATAAAAACAGGAGAGAAAAGTTCAGGAAGGTAAATGTCCAAGGTCCAAAACGCGATTACATGCATTTCAGAAAGAGGATAGAAAAATCAGTACAATTCAAAACTCTTTCCCATACCAATAGATTGAAACTACAGTGAATTTAAACTATTGAATAATGATATTGAACTTTCAAGAGAACAGACATTCCCGCCAGCCTTGACGTCTAATGCTTTTGGGAGGAGGGAAGACTGTTTTTCTTTTTTTGAGACACAGTCACCTCTTATCTCCAGGGTGGAGTGCAGTGGCTCTTAACGCGCTTTTAACCAAGAGATGCGCACACGGTGCCACACCGCAAAGATAACCAGGCTTGGAAAGTGAATCGTTTCTTTGTAATCCTAAACATTCTAGTCTGTCATTGAAAGCCATTATTTGAAGAAAAATGGCTTCCAGGTTGGTCGCCAAAGGACCTCCACAGGACAATAGCACTACTTAGACATTAAGCATGGGACAGTATATGTTAGCGAGAGGCATGTCACCTGGCCTTAAATGGCTGGTCCATTGAGTGCTCCTGTCTGTGAGCAGTTCTTGTTTCATATTTCACTGTCTCTGACACTATTAACTGTACAATTTTTCTCTGCACACAAAAAGCAAAAGTGCTCAACAGTTACAGGCCCAAAAGGGCCCAAATCACTTGGGATACAAAGTGGATAATCGATGTCAGTATTCACAAACACAACATGGAAATCGTCTCACAAATATGGAAATGGAACACATGGCCACACAAACCGTCTCTGGTTATCCTTGAAACATCCAACAATAAGAAAAGTGAAGTATGTATCTTCTACAGTATACTTTCCAAATTATCAGATTCTGCTGACATAAGATGCCGCGCCATTGATGCTTCTGTAAGGTTTAAGACATATTATATATAATATATATGTTATATATATGTATATAACACTACGGTTTATTAAAACAGCTATCAGTAAACAGATGCCCCTGATGTTCCAACAAAATAACCTACTATGATTAGAAACCAAATAAGCTCCTCCTCCTAAGGAGGAAGAAAGTAAACAACTTCTGGGTTTGGCACGGTGGTTCACGCCTATATTCCTGCATTTTGGGAGGCTGAAGCCGGGTGGATCACTGAGGTTAGGAGTTCAAGACCACTCTGGCCAACATGATGAAACCTCATCTCTACTAAAAATACAAAAATTACAGCGCGCCTGTAATCCCAGCTACTCGGGAGGCTGAGGCAGGGGAATGGCATGAACCCGGGAGGCGGAGCTTGCAGTGAGCCGAGATTGCGCCATTGCACTCCAGCCTGGGCGACAGAGCAAGACTCCATCTCAAAACACCAAAGAAAAGAAAAGGAGGGAATTGTAGGAAATAACCTGCATGTGATGGTCTATTTTCAATTCTAAGTGGCTTGGTATAGGTTGAGGTAGCTACCTGGAAATAAAGAGATAAAGAAGCAGAAATGTAAATGAGCCACCCTCCACCTTCCTTCTCTCCCTTTCACCCAGCCGCCAGGTGTCTATCAGAGGGGCCCCTTATGTACCCTCCCTACTCCACCAAGAAATTTAGTTTGCCAGCTTGCAACATAGATAATTGTACCCGTTCTTGTCAGGCCAAGTGAGCCACCAGGGCCATAAGTCAAATGTTTGAAAAGTCCTGAGACATCTATAATGCATTGTGGGCTGCACAAATGCAGCAAGAAAGATACTAAAGAATATACTTGAAGAACAATCAATAGGTGATGTCTGGGAAGATTGTGACCATTACTCAGCTATGAGGAACTGGGGAGGAACTTGTGCACTAGGGCATAAATTGCTTGTTGAAACTGTGCTGGTAAAGCCAGATGCCACACACTCCGATCTTGCAAGACCGTCATTAAAAGTCTCACTTTCACTGTTCTCCTGGTCTCTGAGTTCATTGTTTGGGCTTAGACGGTGACCGAGCCACAAACTTGATTGGATTGAAGGATGAAAGTATTGATCCTGGGCTGTCTGTGAGTGGTATGCAAAGGAGATTAACATCTGAGTCAATGGGCTGGGGAAGGCAGACCTACCCTCAATCTGGTGGGCACAATGTAGTCTGCTGCCGATGAATATAAATAGCAGGCAGAAAACACAATACGGGGCACTGGCCTATCCTGCCAGCCTACATCTTTTCCCCAAGCACGGATGCTTCCTGCCCTGGAACATCAGACTCCAAGTTCTTCAGTTTTGAGATTTGAACTGACTCTCCTGCTCCGTGTTTTTGCAGACAGCATATTGGTCCATATTGTGGGACCTTGCATTGTGTGTAAGTTAATACTTAATAAACCTTTATATATCTATCCTATTAGTTCTGTCTTCAGGAGAACCTTGACTAATACAGAGTCACATAGAAACATGAGCCTCAGGCCGGGCACAGCAGGTCATGCCTATAATCCCAGCACTTTGGGAGGTTGAAGCGGGTGGATCACGATCACTCCGAGGTTGACGTCGAGACAAGACTGACCAACAAGAGAAACCCCATCTGTACTAAAAATACAAAACTAGCTGGATGTGGTGGCACATGCCTGTAATTCCAGCTACTTGGGAGACTGAGGCAGGATAATCACTTGAACCCGGGAGGCAGATGTTGAGGTGAGCTGAGATCATGCCAATGCACTCCAGCCTGGGCCACAAAAACTCTGTCTAAAAAAAAAAGCAAAAAAAAAAAGCCTCACAAAGAAAGCCATATGGTTGAAGCTTATATGCAGCACATAAAGGACTAGTGGCTGAGTTCTCAGGGGGTGGTGGCCACAGGTTTTGGGAGGTTGAGGGGAGGAAAGACATGGTGAGCAATGACTGTGTTGTGATGCAAATGAAGTCTCTCAAGAAGCAGCCCTCCACCAGATGTGGTGGCTCATGCCTGTAATCCCAGCACTTTGGGAGGCAGGAGGTGGGCAGATCATTTGAGGTCAGGAGCTCAAGACCAGCCTGGCCAACATGGCAAAACCCCATCTCTATTAAAAATACAAAATTAGCCGGGTGTGTGGTGGGCACTGGCAATTCACGCCCGGAGGCTGAGTCATGAGAACTGCTTGAACCTGGGAGGCAGAGGGTTGCAGTGACAAGATTGCACTGCACTGCACAACCAGCCTCAAGAGATAGAGTAGACTATTGCACAAAAACAAAAAAAGTTTCTGTCAGACCTTAGAAGTATGGGACCTTTTTGTTTCCTTTTCTGTGAGTTAATCTTATCTGGATCTCAGATAAAGCAGATAAGAAGACAAAGAGTCTGGTTTGTGTTGGAAGCTACTTCACATGCTAATCTTCCCTGACAAAAGGACAGCTTTTCACAGGTATTTCTGTGACTGTTACCTATTGCACTGCCTTACATGACTGACCCTGGACCCCTACCCAGATATTGTTGCCCACTGCAGTGCCTACGTGACATGGCTGAATTCTACTCACCAACTGCCATTTTTAGGAAACAGATTGCCCAGGTCAGAAGTTTCTTCTGGGACTAAACCAGCTAGTTGGTGAAACTCACATACAGCTACGCAACCTCTGAAACATCTAGCTTATTATAATCCACCCCATAAGCAATTGGATTATTATAATCCATTTTCCATGCTAAATGGATTATTATAATCCATTTTCCATCAGCGATGACAGCTGACAATCACTGTGACAATGAACAGAAGAGACCAAGGAAAGACAGAAAAGAGGGTGGTTCATGATTCTGTGGAAAAACGCCTATCCCTTCCTGTAGAAACACACGATTTCTCACCTGCTCATTCCTTCATTAAAGATCCTATATATTTGTAACTTCCTGGTCTCAGTGAGCGAGAAGGTGATTTGCAACCATACAACTTCTCCAATTCCACATGCTATGCTCCTAATCCTCCAGTGCCATTTGAATACAGCTCATGCTTGCTTGACGCTTGCTCTGCTTTCTATACATTGGCTTTGCAATACTAAACAGGAAAGAGTCCTTTGGGAGTAGACCTCTTAGTAATCTCTGCAGTCTCTCTGTATGATATCCAAAAATATACCAAAGAAGTGTATTTTTGGGGTGGTATATTTTGGGTTTCCCCAAAGATGGCTAAGCCAACATTAATAGATTCTTGTTGAACCAGGGTGATCAGATGACACTGTTGATGGTGAAGGATGAGGAGCCCACAGAGTGGATCTATTGAGGATGGGAGTTGCTGTCTGACTGAGAAGGATTCTTGCTGAGATTGAACAATGCAGAGAGGTTCAT